CTCGCTGTTCTAAAGGCTTCCCGGGCCCCAAAAGCGCCACGTTAGCACGTGTAAAACCTTTTTTTTTTATTTTTTCCTTTGATTTTCACTTCAGGGGCCGATTGAATTTCCGTCACAGGGGTTTATTATTTATTTCAGTGCACGTGGTCCATCTCAGATTCTTCATTCTGGTGTGTCAGTGTGTGTGTGTGTGCTGTGCATTCCCCTCTCGTGTTTATTAGCACCACGTCTGTATCTGGAACCTCTTTCCTGCTCCTCTTCCTCCATGGAAAAGCTTTCCCCTTTTTGCAGCCCTGACACCTGCAGGAGCTATTTTTCCACTTGTGCCAAGGCCGCGTTGTATTTTTTAACTGTTTTGTTGTTTTTTTTTTTCTCTTTAAATTAGCATCTCGGTTTTTGAAACAAGGTGTTTTGCCTGATCCCTCCTGGCCACGCTGCTTCTCACACGGCTTGCCCTGTAAAACACAGGGGAGTCTCCCAGGATGGTCTCACGTTTGGAAAATGCTGATTTTTGCTGCAGGAAGTCAAGGAGCGAAAAAAAACACACATGCTAAAAAAGCAACGTGCAGGAGGGGGTGTGTTGGCCCTCTGCCCGTGTCTTAAAAGTAATTATCCAGTGGCATTTGGGCTGTGTCACATTTTTAGACCGAGTTTCTTGGGCGAACCTGATCCCTCCTCAGCTGCCATTGGCTTAAACCCCCGCTGTAAATGAACGGGGGGTCGTGTGTCCCGTCAGTGCCAGGCCTGGATTAGCTGCCTCGCCTGGGCCCGTGGGGTTGCTGATTGCCTGCCTGGATCGTGTTCCTTGGGGTCGCATCCCTGGCTCCCAGCTCCATCCGTAGCCGCCCGGTTTGTCTCCCGTTTCCTTTCCTCCTTTGGGGGTTGGTGGTTCTCCCCAAATTGCCCTTCTGTGGGAGGAGAGGGGGAGGGCAAAACCTCCTGCCAGTGTGAAAACTGCTCGTTTACGGTCGTTTGAGTTCTTTTTAAGAGCCTGGGTTTGTAACTTCTCAGCCAATTTCGGCCAGATCGCAGCGCTGGAAACGGGAATTGGAATTGTGTGGAGGAAGGGATTTTTCGGAGCGGTTTCAGGACTTGCTTGGTGAAAAAGCAGGGGTCACTTCCACTCTTCACATGATTTTAGCAGCCCCCTCCCCTTGTGTCTGCTGCACAGCTGTAGTAACACCTCTGTGAAAGCAAGGAAATCAGTGCCAAAACCCCAAAATGGGGTTTTTTTCCCCATCCACGAGAATCAGGAGGACCCTCTTCTCTTTCTAAAACCCTTGTGCCTTCCTCAGGCCCTGCCTCTGCGTGTCTTGCCTGCTTTTCTGGCGAAGGATTCCCAACTGAAAACGTCCCTCAGCAGCTCCCTGGCCTCAGCTGAGGCCATCCCAGCCATCCTATCTCTTAAATGCCTAATTTGCTGCCCGAAGAGTTGCTGCAAATGTTTGGAAGCCGTGCCCTCACGCTGTTTTTTATTTACCCCTGGTTTCTGGCACCTAAAAGCACTTGTTCTTAGGCTGTGCTAGCCTATAACACTGGCAATCAAGGTGGAATATTAAGTTTCTGTTCCCCCAAAGGTGTTGTTTATCCCCCCTCGTGCGCTTTTTTTGTTTGTTGCTGGGTGTTTTCTGGCTGACCCGGGGGCACCTCGTTCCCCCCCGGGAGGGAAATTCTGTCCTGGGGCTCCCAGCAAGGTTTTTGCAGAAGGTCCTGAGCATTCGCCCTGTCCCCGCTTTCTAATCGTGCCACTGAAATAATCAGTGTTTTGAGGGACAAGGTCTCGGTTGGTCTGAAAACAGTGGAACAGTTTGGGTCAGCGCGGTGCCTGTTTTGCATTCCTGTCCCTCAGGGAGGTATAAATACAGGGAGGGCACTGGTGTGAGAGATCAGCAGTGGTACTCCCACCCTAGGTAAGTCCATACTGTATTCTTTTTTGTCTTTCAGGTTTAGCTCCTCTGCAGAGGTTCTCATTCTGGTGCCAGTGCTTAAGGCTGTTGTAGAACACCGGTTGTTATTTGCTTGTTTTGTAATGTACTTGTTAATTCTTAGTTGTTGGAATAAATCACTTTATATAACATAGTAGAATTGTTAAGGTTGGAAAAGATCTTTAAAATCATGGGGTCCGAGTGTAATCAGGTACTTTTCTGTAACTTTGTGACTTGCCAGCGTTTTACATCAGCTTGTCCCTTTTTTTTTAACCTGTTCTGTTTGCATCTCACCGGAGCAAAAGGGTGAGAAACACCTTTTTGTTCCGTGGTGGGCGAAGCTGAGAGCTTGTGCTGTGACCTGCTGCTGCTTTTCTCGTGTCCCCTGTCCCTTCTCTCTGCCCTAAAGCACTCACTCACTCCTGTTTTCACCTCATTCCTGATCAGGGGGAGTTCAGGAGGTCTTTGCTCAACTTTGCATTTGTTCCCTGCAGATCTGAGCCTGGGCTGCAGCGTGGGGTCGCCTCCTGGGGCAGGGGGGGTGAATCTGAGCATCCCTTCCCACCTCAGAGTGGGTGTGAAATCCCACGGGCACGGCATCGTCTTGCACAACACCCCGTGCGCTCCTCGGCCGAGGCCTCCTCCTAAAAATACAAGGCACTGGGACTCACATTTTGCTTTTATTTGCACACGTGGGGAGCCGCGTAGTAGAGGAGGTGTTAAGGCACCTCTCGAATGTGTGACTCGGGCAGGGATGGGCTCGTGGAGCCGCTCTGAGAGGAGCTAAATCCGCGCGGTGCGAAAACTCGGCACCGGGGAAATGTGTCACAGCACTTCTCAGCATCCCCCCTCTCCCCCGGGGCGCCCAGGGGGAACTCCTGGATTGCACCAGCAGCCCGTGGCAGCGCTGGGAATCCCGAGCAAGCGGCCTGGCTCTCAAAAAAAGCGCTGAGCTGTCGGGAGCTCCTGTCAAGCGCAGTGGCAGCCGAGGGGAGGGGGGTGACTCGACGTTCCTGGAGAGATAATTCCGCTTAAATCGGGTTTTATTTGCCTGATCCCAGCCCTCTGAGAGCATCAAGCAGGGTTCTCATTCATGGTTCTGGAGGGGCGTGGGAGACGGAGCCGCGTGTCTAATTTTAAAGCGTGTCTTTATTTAAAGCTCTCCCGGCTTAATCGCTTTATCCAGCCACTTATTTGTGATCACTTACGCACATCTATCCGGGCAAAGTGATGTTCCCCTCTGTTTTGTAGCAGATTTGTAAATCTGCGAGATCGTGAGCAATCTGCAGGAGTGTGGGTTGCCATGGAGAATGACTGGCAGGTAAAGAGACTCGAGTTTTGAAAAAAGGGGCTTGTTGAGTTGAAAAAAAAAAGCCAGAGGAGGGAGAAACTCTTAAAAGCTGGGTAAAAATCTGTGATCTGACTCAGGCTTCTAGGTAATTGTTGCCCTTTGGGAGAAATTAGGTGCGGAAGCATCCTCACAGAAGAAGAAAAGTGTTGAGGAAGGAGGGAGGGGGGGAAGGATCTGCACAGTTTTGGGTTTTTTTTCCTGGTGTGCCAAAGCGTGATGCGTTCAAGTTGAAATCGTAGAAAATATTAAATGAGGAAGAGTTTATGTTTGCTGAATTTGTGTTGCAGTGTTCCCTTTACAAGGAGGGAGGCCATGGGTTCACACTGCAGTTTGTGTGATGCCCTGACTCGCTAAATTAACTCTTATTTTTGTGCCACACGTTTTGTTTCCAACAAACAGCTGCTACTTCTGTGCCTCTGTGATAACCCGGAAAATTCCAGTGCAGTAACAGGTCTTTGGCTGGATGTGTCCCTGGGATGTGATGCGAGCAGGCTTTTTTTCCCCCCCCCCGAACTTTTGAAATCGGATATACTTTATTTACATTGTTGGGAACAACGTGGTGGTTTCAGAAAGGCTTATGCTTTAAGCTGGCTCGTAAACACAGTAAAATCACTTCTGTGTGTTTGCTGCCAGTGTCTTAAGAAAGCTGGGCCCTGTAGCTGGTGACTCCCTGAAGCCAGATCTGCTTGGAGAACCAAAGCAGCTTTTTTGACAACTCCTTCTCTGTGGCTGCACAAAACCTGCCACCCCGTGTTTTCTGGATAAAGTGCAGTAATTGGCTCATTCAGAATTGATAAAAATCAGGCCAGCTCTTCTAATGTTGTGGGTTAAAGGGAGCTTCCAAAGGCTGAGGTCTGCTGGCTGTGAGAACAATGACTTCATGACCAGAAACCGCTGCAGGTCCTTAACAAACAGGGAGGGGGGGACACTCATCCCTCATCTTGTGTTTACTGTAATTAGGGCAATTTGGAAGGGCTTTTTTAGTGACTTGGGCTGGTTTGCCTTGACCCAGAAGCGGCTGGATGCAAACAAGTAAAGACAAATGTTGGGATTTTTGTGTGTCTAATTTACACAATACTAATTTACCTAAATGTCTCTTGAGCTGATGGCCAGGTACAATTATTCTGCCTTTTCTGATTAGCAAAGAGAAATAGAGTTAGCCTGAGGTCAGAACATAGCTGAACTATGAACAGGGTTATTGAATAAAGGTGACAGGTGATTCTGGTGTGCATTCATGCTTCTTCACTGTTCAGGTTCCCCTTAAATCAGTTCCCAGTCAGTGTTTTCACTTGGTTTCATCCCACCAGTGTAAAACGCAGGAAATCATTGTCACCGTCCTCCTTTTCCTGGTTCATTCAATGATCCTTCCCTTCCTGTATGTACATACTATGTGTACATGTATATAAACTATCATCTTTATTTAAATATTGTTACTAGGGGGGAAAAATAAATCTCCTACCTGAAACTGTGCAAGCAGTGTCTTAAGCATGTTTTAGCTATCATGGGACAAGCAATGAGGGTTTTTTTCATGTGCTTTTAACATCCTTAAGCTTGAAAATAAGAGAAGCAAAAAAGCCACAGACTTCCTTAGAAAAACGTGATCTGCAATCTGTTAAAAAACCCCAATTCTAATGTAGATATTTTTTCCTCCTAGGTTTTACCCAAGGGGACAGTACACCTAACACTTAACTCGGATCACCTCTTGTTCGTCAGCTTGAAAAGCCATAACAGCCCCCCCAAACACTGACACTTGACCCGAAAGGAAAAAAAAAAAAAAAAGCTGTGACAAATGGACAATATGTCTATTACTAACACGCCAACAAGTAATGATGCTTGTCTGAGCATTGTCCACAGCTTGATGTGCCATCGACAAGGGGGAGAGAGCGAGACTTTCGCCAAGCGCGCAATCGAGAGTTTAGTTAAAAAGCTAAAGGAGAAAAAGGATGAGCTGGATTCTTTGATCACAGCCATAACCACAAACGGAGCTCACCCCAGCAAGTGCGTTACAATACAGAGAACGCTGGATGGGAGGCTTCAGGTCAGTACAAGCGAAAAAATCAGATGTTTTCCCCCTCCTAGAGAAGCTGGGGCGCAAGTGAGCGGCGCAGGTTTTCCCCCTAGAGCGTTGAGGAAGAGTAGCTCTTCTCTTGCTCCCCCTGTTTGTAGGTGTGGGTTTGTGGCTGGAGCTCTGGGCTGGCTGCAGGGGTTACTGTTTTTTTTTCCCAGAAGGAGCAGAAGGTGTTGGATCAGCCATTCTGAACGAGCTGTGTGTGCGGCGGTGAGGAAAAAAAAAAGCAGGGTCACGTAACAAATCCGGCTGGTTCACCCCGTGTTTTCACTGCAGAGCTTCTGTTAGCTCTGTGTCGGTCAGCAGCGTGAGGAAAGACCCGTGATCCCTCGCTGGGGCACTCCAAGGGGTCTGCACTGGGGGTTCACACCGTCAGGGCTCAGTACCTGTGCAGCCAGGGTCATGGTCTCCTCATTCCAGGGCAGATGTCATGTTTGCTGGCTCTAGCTTTTCCCTCTACCCTAGACCCATTTTTTTTGGGTTTTTTTCCCCAATTTATTATTTATTATTATGATTGGCATCCTTCTGCTTGTAAATTCCTCACAGCACAACTTTATTGCCTCGTTCCTCTTCTCCCTGGGGCAAAGCTCCCTCACGTCCGTGGTGGGGAAGGTGACCACACATAAGTTCTGCTTCTGCCATTTTGCACCCAGTATTTTATTTTTTTTTATTTAAGAATCACACAGTGTCGACTTTAACTGCAGCAAAACCCTCGTAGAAATTTATTTCTGTTGATTACAGAACTTGGGTAAACCCTACACCACCTTTTTTTATGCATATATCTATATTTTGATGATGGAGTGAGGGTGTGTTGTTGTTTGTCCTTTGCTCCTTCACAGTCCTCTCCCAGCCTTTCATGCTGCTTCTCTCCCTGTGAAATAAAAATGCCTCTGTGAGATGAAAACTGCCTCTTGCTACCTTCCCAATCAGACTTTTGTGTCTGTCAACTTTTCTTAGGTGGCCGGTCGCAAGGGATTCCCTCACGTGATTTACGCCCGTCTCTGGAGGTGGCCCGATCTTCACAAAAATGAACTCAAGCATGTTAAATATTGTCAGTATGCCTTTGACTTAAAATGTGACAGTGTCTGTGTAAACCCTTACCATTATGAGCGTGTAGTGTCGCCTGGCATCGGTAAGTAGACCCTTGATTTGAAATGGGACAGTGGGGGGATAAGTTGTGAGACGTTTTTTCAGCGTAGGAAGGACAAGCCTGAGTTAGAAACATTAACTTTTAATGATCTGATTATAAATTGCTCCCGTCTGTGTTCTGCAGGGAATTGTTCTTCTGCCTTTTTATTTATTCTAAATTCGAAGGAGCGGGTCGTGGCTTTTGTTTTAAGCCCTTTCTGTTGGCTTTGCACCACAGTTCCTGGTGTGTGTCCCAGGGATAACTTAGCCCTGGAGACTCGTGCTGTGATGGAGGGGGTCTGGATTGTAAGGTCCTGCAGTACTAATCTTTTAAAGGCTTGCAACTGATTAAACACTTCTGAAGATTTGTGTGTGTGTAATCCTCCACAACCCCTCTCTTTTTCTTATTTTCAAAGATCTATCAGGGCTGACACTGCAGAGTTCTGGTAAGTAAGTTCTGGTCGCTGCTGCATTTCTGTGGGCCCAAAACTGTGTTAAAAAACCCTGCAGTACATACAGAGTTTATTCCCCATGTCTCTCTGGGAGGGAGTACCAAGAACCAGTGCATTTGTCTCTCTGGCTCTGGAAAACCAGCTGAGGAAGCGTTCCATAAATCCATTAAATTGCCTAGGTGGCATGTGAGAGGCAGGTATTGATAAATTCCTTAAATGGAGGCTTTAGCCAAGCTTCTCTGTCCATTGCTTCCAACTTGTAAAGCCAAACAAACAAAAAAAAACCCCAAAAACCTTGCTGTTGAACGATGCTAATTAGTATAAAAAGGACACCCCAAACCCTGTGGATTGACACGCTGGTTAATGGAATTGGGAATAATAAAAGCTTACAATTTAATTAATAATTGAAGAAGAAAATAATAAAAATTCTGTAGTTGACATGCAGCTGAATGAAGGAGCCTAAATACTCTTGCTCTCCCTGAAACTTGAGAGAAATTGGACATTAAATGCCTGATGAACATTGTTCAGGAATCTGAGATTTGCGCCTGGCAACTGATTTATTTCAAAACCGATTTTATCCTCCTTCCAGAAGAGATTCACAGAGAAAGAAATCTGTGTAAACCCGGTGTTTTTAGCGCATTGCTAGAAGCAAAAATGACGTAAACCCCCCCCAAACCACCCATCAAACTCAACTTCACAAGTTTTAACTCTCCGCTAATTTGGGTCGTTACCTGTTGTCCTCTGAAAATCGCCCCTTTTGTGCAGAACCAAAGCTCACCAGTCAGCACTTAAAACGCATCATGAGCGTTTCCTCGTTGTCCTGCCGCTGGTTTTGCACCGGGGAAACAGAAAATCAAACAGAAAATCGCCGTCAGATTTTAACATTATTTGAGGCTGCTTTAAAAAAATCAGCGCATCAGAGCTGATGCGGCGTCAGGGTTTTATTTGAACAGGGCTCAACAGCAAATAAATCAGAAATAAATCATTGTGGTGGCAATGGTGGTGATTTCCTCACGCTGCATGTGGAATGCTCTGGATTACTGGCTGCAGTTGTTAAACGTGGAGTAGCTTTATGGGGTCTTTGGATTTGAATTTAATGTTTCTAGTCAATTTGTGCGTGGGAGTTGCTTGAAAATTACTCCGGGGATGCATGAAGCTTTTTAGTGCCGTGCTCATGAATTATGTTTTTTTCGTAGGGGGCTTTATGTGTGTCCTTGCTTGTACCACTAAGAATTGGTTTGTTGGCTGCCGCCCTAACATTCGTTTAGTTGCTTGACAAAAAGCATGTTTTTTCCCTTTTATTAACCGTGTCCAATCAAATAGTGATGGACTGCGAGACAAAACGCTGCTGAAGCCTGCTGCCCGTGGGACTAAACTGCCTGCCTGGGAGCATTAAGCAAAACAAACAGCTTGCTTTCCCACCCAGCCGTGCCTCAAAAAAATTCCCCCACTGCCCGGGCTCGGAGCTGTTTGTTTGCAATTTAGAGGAGCGCGCTTTGGCAAATAAATCCCGCAGCTTTTAATGGCTTCGTTATTGCTCGAGAATAGAGTCCTGGGGGTGGTTTTGGTGTGTGCTGAGCCCCTCTCTGTGTGTGTGTGTGCCCACAGCTCCATCCAGCATGCTGGTGAAGGACGAGTACGTCCACGACTACGAGGGGCAGCCGTCGCTGAGCTCCGCCGAGGGACACTCCGTGCAGACCATCCAGCACCCACCAAGTAACAGGGCCTCGACAGAGCCTTATAGCACCCCAGCCATGTTAGCCCCCACTGAGGCTAGCACTACCAGCACCACTAACTTTCCCAACATTCCCGTGGCTTCAACAAGTAAGATCATCGGGATTTAAACGCGGGGGGAAACGCTGTTGGGAGCGCCGGAGCTCGGAGGCGACTCGCTGGGTTTTGCCGGGGTAGATCCTACACTGTAGATCCTACAGCTGCTGTGCTGCTGCTGCACCACGCTGATAAAAGTGTGTGGTGTGATAAGATCTGAGAGTTAAAGTCAGGTTTTAACCCGGAGCACGGTGACCCAGCTTTGTTTTCATGAGTCTTACGGGGCTGCGCCGAGGTTCAGTGACAAAAATGTTAAAACCTATAACAAAGTGTTGTGGCTGTTAATATTAAATAGTAATAAAATATTAGTATAAAATAGAAATAAAGTTATTGTTTTGTGACAGCAGCAAGCAGGACAACGAATGGATAATGCTGCAAGGTGGCAGAATCAAGAGATTTTAAGGCAGTTCTTTAGTCTTCCAGTTTTAACTTGGTTATTTTTGCAGTGGCCCGTGTGCAACCAGAGTGGCAGCCCTGGTTTAATATTTTCATGTGTCTGCCTTGAAGATTTTCCTTTCTATTCCTTTGTGTGTTTGGCACAAGTGGAAGGAGCCTGGTGTGCCAGCACCACACCTCACCCTCCACTCCAGCCGGGCAGCAAAGCAGTTACAAATTTATCCTTAGGTGGGGATACCACAGAGTTTGGAGGGGTTTCACCTGAAAGACGTGTGGATGTGACTGATTTCATTTTAACTTGAGTTATGTTTTCGTAACGTCCTTCAATTTTAGCTGGAAGCTTTTGGGTTTTTTTCCCCCTGAAGCCAACGATGGTGTGGCCAAGCTGAGATGTGATGCCTGTGTTTGTTTCCAGAGGAAAAAAAAGGATAGGCAGTTAATTGTATATTGCCTTTGCACAACAGTTCATAGTCAATAATTCTCATCAGTGCTGTAATTGTTGGAGCCAAGTGGGCAGGAAAAAAAAAAAAAAGCTGATTTTTTAGGTTTTAGTTCAAGTTCTCGATGTGTTAAATTCTGCTAGTTTGAGAGTGCAAGTGCACTTGTGAAACTGCTGATCAGTTTAATGGCTGAGCTGAAGCCTTTTGAAGTCAAATGCCGTTAACCTGCTGTGAAATAATCTGTGATTTTACTTTAAATCCAAGACGGTTCTTGAAATATTTATTTGGGAGATAAAAAGAAAGCACAGCAGCTTTCTGAGGAAGGAGTGCAGTGATGTGTGCAGCTCTGTTGGGGCACCATTTATGAAAGTAAAGTGCTGGTCAGTGTGTTTTGGAGGAACATGAGCTTTGAGTGAGTGTCCTCCTTAGGAACAGCAGTTAAAACATGCTGAAAACAAGCAGCCTTTTGGACCTGCTGTTGGCCCGTTTGGGTTCACACCAAACCCCACTCCCAGTAAAAGTCGTGGCATCTCTTTTCCTTTCCCTTTCAAACCCTAGGGTGAGATGTGACCAAGACAGGGGGTGTCAGAGTCAAAACTTATCTGGTGGCAGATTTTGGTTCAGGTTTCCTGAGACACTCTGGTGGGTGGAAATTAAAAGACTTGAAACCAGGCTTGTAGGAACTGTGTATTTGCAGTTGCCCTTAGCGGGGTGTGTTTTCCTACCCAGTAAGTGCTGAGCTCTTCTTAATTAAAATTTTGGAACGTTCATGAATAGGTAGTGTGTTCTTTTACCAGGTCAACCTACCAGTATATTGACAGGTAGCCATAGTGATGGACTCTTACAGATTGCTTCAGGGCCTCAGCCAGGAACTCAGCAGAATGGGTTTACAGCCCAGCCAGCCACTTACCACCACAGTGAGTATCCACATACGTGCACTCCTCTTAGCCTTCCAAAACCAGTTCCCGATAAATGCTCAGGAGGAATATAGAGGAATTAGAAGGGAGATGCAGAGAAACCCCCCTTAAAAACCAACCTGCTGCTCTCTCTCTGTCTCTTTTTTTTGTCTCTAGACAGCACCACGACCTGGACTGGGAGTCGGACGGCAGCCTACACACCCACCATCCCTCACCACCAGAACGGCCACCTGCAGCACCACCCGCCCATGCACCCCAGCCACTACTGTAAGCAGGGGTCAACACACACCTCCCACGGCTCCCTGGGGTCGGGGTGGGCTCACGGGATGGGTTTAAGGGTAAAACAGCGGGGGAAATGAACTCAGGATAACGATTTAATAAATGGGATTATACGGGCAAACAGCTGGCTTTAACCCACAAAACCCAAATGTGTAACCCGGCACCCTGGGGCAGGAGCAGGGTGGGGTTCCTTGGGCCCCCCTGAGTCCAAAGTAAAAGGAGAGGGGGAAAAAAACCTGTTGGTGAGAGTGCTGGTGCAGTCTGGTCAAGAGTGGTGGTGCAGTCTGGTCAAGAGTGCTGGTGCAGTCTGGTCAAGAGTGGTGGTGCAGTCTGGTCAAGAGTGGTGGTGCAGTCTGGTTGAGAGTGGTGGTCTCAGTCTGGTCAAGAGTGGTGGTCTCAGTCTGGTCAAGGGTGGTGGTGCAGTCCAGTCAAGAGTGGTGGTCTCAGTCTGGTCAAGGGTGGTGGTCTCAGTCTGGT